TTCGCATTTATGACGATGTATCTCTGTAGTTGTTCGTAAAATAATTTTTTGCTGCGAACTGGTTTATTTTGGACAAAAAACCCAAGAGACATTTTTTGTTTAGAATGAAACAGGCTATCAGAAATAAATTTTTAAATGGTAAACAAATAATAAGACAAGAAGTTACATTGGAAATAAATTTTAGGGGTTGAGTTTTCCACCCCTTACAACCATGGGGTAAACCAAATAAATTTCTGGCTAAGTGTCTTTATGGTGGTACAAAACGTGGTAAGCAAGGAATTATTTTCACGGAAGGGTTACATTGGGTCACTGTGATCACATATTACTATATATTGTCTAAGCAGTCGGTTGCGAAATGTATCGAAAATATTTTTTTTGAAAATTTCTTTTTCGCAGTGTATGACACAAACACATCGTAAGCAAGAAATTATTTTCACGGAAGGGTTAGATTGGATCACTATAATAACAAAGTTCTTCCACAATTTCATGCATAATGAAGCAATTTTATATTTCATTTACTGTATAAGTCGATTTTCTGCAACAAATATCAATTATGACTTTTTATATACAGGCTGATTCACGGTGGATGGCACATTATCATTCAGCTAATAGTGCGGATACACGCCACTGGTCGCTCGGTAGAGTTCGGAAAATTTAGCAGCTGGGTCTGGCAGCCAACTTCACATAAGTGAAGTAGATGACATTATTTATCTTCCATTGTCAATGTTGCAAATGCTGGTGATTTATCACCAGCATTGGCAACATTGGTGATTTTCATGTCATTGTGGTGATTTGATTATTTTTCATATTCTGTGATATTTTGGTGATTTTTGTTTGTTTATGACAAATTTGAAATTGAATTAGAAGCATGAAGCATAAATTCACACAACTCATACCAGTTGTATAGCGTATGATTATATGAGTTCTATGTTCAATCACATATCTTCTGTGTCTTGTGGTTCTGTTCATAATTTAAATGCTAACATTATTAACTGAGCGACTGAACCTAACCTATTTTCTTTTGAATATATAAATTATAAAAATATCAAAATGCAAAATAAGTTTTTAGGTATTATTCGTGAATGACGAGTCTAGCTAACTAATTTATGTATTTTTTGTAGAAGTTTTTCATTCTCCCGTTGATACAGATTCATCAGAAACATAATACAAATACAATCCCTAATGATATTGAAACAAAACAAATATCCAAACGGAAGAGGAATTATAAGCATAAATACAATTCTCAATGGGAAAAAAGTTTACATAGATTCAATGTAGCAAATTAGGGAGCAATAATTTTTTTTGTAAATGATGTAATATAAATTTGCAAGGTGGAATCGCATCAGTACAAAAGCATGAAAGCACGAAAAAACACATGCAGAAAGCTTCTTCTGTGAGATTGCAGTAACCAGTCTCACAAATGAGGTTCTTCACAGACAACGGAACTAAAAAAAAAACACAAGAACTAGAAATAAAATTAGCTTTATTCATTTGTGGAACATAACATTGCTATAAGCAGTGTTGATCATTTGGAAGAATTGATGAAAGAAGCAAGCAAACATCCTGAGGCAGCCAAAGATGTTGTTAATTTGAAGCGCACAAAATGCACCGCTATTATTATTAAAACTATTTTAGGTCATCATTCACTAGCTTCGTTATTACAGAAAACTGGGTCTACAAAGTTTTCCATTCTCATTGATGAATCGACTAACCATTCATGTGTCAGAAACTTGGCAATAATAAAACAAAAATCAGAAATCGACTGAATTCTGAAACCCTCAGTGGAATTCTTCACTCAAAGAGTTATATTGAACAATGAGAAATACTGTTACAACTTTGAAATTTCTGATAATATACTAAGGAAATGTGATCATAAAATGTACGAATCGAAATAATAGTAGTAGGTAGTTGATGATCAAAATATACTTGGCCATTAATTTTCTGTTTATTTTTGGGTTTTTGTTCAAATATTTATTTACAAGAGAGTTCTGCTTATTTTGTTTTTCATTTATTGTCTTGGCCATTACTTTTCTGTTTGTTTTTGCTCAAATATTTATAAGAGACTTCTTTTTTTTATCTATTGTGTGAGAATGAATATCTATTTCAATATATTTTCTGTTTCAAACTTTGTATTTAGTTTTGGTCACAATTTCCTATTCATTTCTTGTTCAATAGGCAGAATTTCTGAAATCTGGTGATATTTTTTCAAATCTGGTGATTTTTGCTTCATAGATTTGGTGATTTTAAATTTTGCCCGCCGGCAACAGTGGACCACTGTTGACAAAATCACAGCATAGGTAACAATCAGCATGGACAGTTGGCCATGCCGCCTTTGATGTGGAAAAGTATCTAGACGCCATTTTGGGAAGTGAAGAAAGAGGGCAGGACTCGCGTAATGGTTTTGGACAGGTTCGCACTCAAACTTTTTTATATCCAAAATGTTCATATAATTTTGATATACATTACGAAATGGACCCAAATTCAATTGATATAATAATTCTTGTGCATACATTCTACCTGGTTACATGATTTTTTCAAAAAATGTCAAAACAGCCGAATTATTTCTAAAATCACCAGTTGGAATAAAATGGTTCAATCAACTGGAATATGAAGGAGAAATTGTCCAGCAATTAACTTTTTAATATAAAGTTTATGATCTACCTCTCTTAAAATAAATGTGCTCCAAAACAGAACGAAGTTTATATATTTCTACAAGAATATCCTGATTCATTTGAAGACGAAAAATGGGCATCTATATAAAATATATGGTGTACCTACAACTTCTATACCGGCAAATTGAATATTCCATTTGATTTGTGAATATAACTTCTTTTTTTCAATGAGAATTATTTATAATGAAAATCATATAAGTGAAATGAAGTTTATTTTCCAATTGCATTTTTCAATGTTTCTTTGAGGTGATACTAATTAAGAATATTATGCAGGTAATTTTGTCGATCCATTCGTTTCTGTCATTTGGAATGTTTCGATCGTTAGTTGGATTCTTTATGAATATGATTTGACAGTTGTGATGTTTGTACTCATTTGTTTCATTTATTTATGGTTTCAAGACCCATTTCACTCAATACAGTTCGAACATTAAAAATAACTACACACAATACCAAATATAAAAGTGCAGATAGAATTAAAAATATATATATAAAACTAGTCAAATTTAAAAAATACAAACAATAGTCAAATACATGTACATATGAAAAAATGTCACTGGAATGAATGTTCTATTAGAAAGAAGTTCGCAGAAAGTATATCCACACTGAATTAAGCTGCCTCTGATGCAGTAGTAAAGGAATCGAGGCCAGTTTTATTTGCCGCTCTTATAGTTCGTGGCAGAAAGGAATGAAGGTATTGATTAGTTTTGTTATTTCTAGAAAATTTAGGAGATGTATCGAGTATCCTCCTAATAATTCTTCAACTTTAATTTATAAAAAGAACATCCACTTTGGCAACAATGTATGGCTCAGATTTGTCTCCTCAGGTCCATAAAGTTATATAAATGGTTCAGTTTTGATGGATATTCTTAGTGGATCAAGATAGTATGAAAAGAATGCACATATATTTTAATTTTCAGTAAATCTGATAAATAGGTGGCTTATATCTTATTAATTCTGCATATTAGTGTGAACATTCTGTCACATACTTAGCATTAGTTATTTTTATAATGAAACTTGAATTGTTGCGATTATTAAGAAATTAATAAATATTTTAAAATCCAATTTGCATTGAAAATCACAATAGAACTGAAATTTCACAAATAGTTTTAACCTATAAAAAATTCAACTAATGTTTAATGATTAGTGAAATATCAACATCTAAGACAAAATATATTGTTGGTTGGAATAACATGAAGTTTATTTATTGGCAAAGAGTAACCGGCAAATAAAAATTTTCTGCAACTACTGTACCATTACTTAAGGAATCTCAATAGATTGTTATCACCCGAAGACGATTGTGAATACTAACAATCGAAACGTCGTGAAGTAACTTGGTTTGGAATCTTTCAATTTTTAATTTTCATTTCTTGTTAATAATTTTTTAATTTTCATCTCGTGTTGATAATTCAATTTTTTTATTTTCATTTTTTGGTTGTTGCTTGTATTTCATTTCATTGTAATTTCAGTTTTTTCGCTTGATATAATTGTTATTTTT